ATGAAAATATTCACTAATATTAAATATCACAAAGATGACTGCAAAACCAGAAATCAAATGTAGACATTAAAAAGTAATCCCTTTTCGAACTTTGCAAATGTAATTTTGACATTAGTAAACTACTGCAGAAATATGACCTAAAAATAAACAAACGTTTCTGGCAGCCATCTTGGAATTTGTACATCCTATACAAGGATGATATTTTCTGGTAGCCCGATACTGTTCTATTTGACAGAATGTCCTACCAACTTTTCTTTATAACATAAAAGATGGAAGAAATTTCAGACATATAATTTCGACCTCAATACGTAAGGGAAACTCTGTCAGGGAGGAATATTCTTAGGGCATACTATACTCATTCTACTCCCACAGCTTTTAGTGCACAGCAATGAATTTCTTACTATATGAGCAAATCTCACATTTCAGTGAAGTTCAGGCATTAACAACTAAAATGGCTGTGAAGAATGCCAATCGCAGATAAAAACCTATTTTAATACAACAAAAGCTGTGGTAGCTCTTCGGTAGCTACCAGAGTGGCTTTTATTTACAGGTCACAAAGGACCTTAGATTTGTTATCTATTTGGACAAAAACATTCACTTTAATACACCTTAGATAAAGGAAAATACACACCCATATCAAGTTGGTTCTGTGCATTAAAAAGTATCATCAAAGCCAAATATTACTAGGTGAACATACAAAGCTTTATAATAAATTAATTCTGAGGAGGACTTCAGAAGTATTTTTTCCATTAAAATGAAGTTGACAAATCTCAACTTTTTTCCATCTCTTATGTTTTCTCATGCCAGATTTTCACATTTACAGAGGATTTCTTTCTGAAACATGCGTTAACTGTGCAAAAATCTTTAAAACGCACCACATGTACAGTTTGACTGGTTTTGGCTACCTGAAACAAGGATATTCGCTAATGCCTTGTTGTAATAAATGAGAATGAGGATTAGCAAACTTAAATGAGGTACCACAAAAACATTATTTATGAGGCAGTAGAAAATTAAGATTAAGATGCAATATTTCTATCCACTGCTACTGGAAGGGAGTACAAAATAGGGGGGAAAAACAGCAGGTGCAAAGAAACACTCGGCTCAACAGAAACTCACCCGTACTAGAGTTGGGGCCATGCAGGAGCACACAGTCTTCATGTGCTTAAGACATTTCTCATGGGACATGAAACTGCACACTGCAAAGGAGAAAGGACACAGCAACATGAGATTCACGCCTCCCTGGATGACATTACTTCACTTCGAAGCAGAAAACCGTCGTCACATGACAAACATCTGTTTTGACATTCATCAGAACACCAAAAGAATGGTTATTCATTGAATCTTCCACCCACACAAGAAGATATTTACTACACAAGTTATTTCTGAAAAACTATTTTACAGGAACTAAAAAAAAACACCACTCTTAGAAGTGTTGACTGTGGTCATTCGGTATTGCAGTCTATGAAATTATGCTTCAGAATGTGATCCCTGTGCTTTGGCATTTTATATTAATTATACTTGTGACCTCAAAGTCACCAATAAAACCAGTAAGCAGTGGAGAGCTGTAATGACCTGCCAAACCACTGTAGTTGAAGTGGAATGTCTCAATATTATTTTGTAGTTGCTAAAAAGGAAACAAAATCTTCACCGATATAAAGTCACCTCTCACAACAATAGTGAAATGGAGAAGTATTTGTGTACCTTGAAGATATGTTAATGAATATTACATTTTTCTAAAAATAATCTGAAGATATTCTGAATTGCAACTGGTGCTTGTGGGACAGCCATGTGCAGTACCTCATTATCACATCTATAATAGAATAAAGTTTTATCATAAAGGTGAGCAGCTAATATGTAAATACAGAAGGGGATATGAAAAAGGTCATTTAAATTCTTCTTATTCAAACTTTCATATACCAATTGTTTTCTAAGAGCTAGCTATAGTCTTCTAGACCCTACAAATGCGTTATAAATGTTCACCTTTTTTTAAATGTGATTTGATAAACCGAACACTAAAAAAAGCTACATGACTAATGTCATTAGAAGTGTATGACATTTATTTAATGTGTGGTAAACCTGTCATTTGTTTTACTAGTAACAACCTGGTGAAACTTTCTGTTCTAAGATCCCTTATTGTTTGAAGATGAAAATGTTCATGGTTTACCAAGGTATTTACAGCAAAAACATTACAAACAAAGAACCGGTCCACTATTATTAGAACGACAACCCTGCACGTATACTATGAAGAACAGTTCTTTAATGAAAAAAAGCTTATATCACACAAACCATATGCTGTCTAAACAACTGTTAAATGTCCCTCTCATGCTGCTCTTCTTAGTGAAGGCACTTATCACAGTAATATGAAAAATGCAGCAGGCTTTATCTGTGTGTATGAAAGCTCTTTCTTTCATACACACAGATAAGGCTCTTTTAAGTCACGCTAAGTCACCTCCCGGCTTCGCTCTTAGCCTTCTTATAGGCACGCATTCACTTGAAAGAAAAAATTAAGAAACCTACACCTTGCTCTTTTACAGTAGCTTTTAGAATATACTTCAAGTTATACATTGTACATCTTAAAATGATCTATTATTTACTGCATTTTGATAGCAAAGTACTGAGTTGGTGGCATGTTGTCTGGAACAGGTTGCCTAGACGTCTCAAGAAACTTCTAGATGAGACCCTGTGATCATGTGGTTGCTACTAGCAACCAAACGAGCACAACGGGTTGAGTGGGCTCTCTCTTGTTTGTATCCTGCTTATGTTCCAAATCATGGACTCTCATTCTCTGTTACTCAGTAGATTAGTATGATTAACCTAGTCCTTTGCAAGACAAATGCTCACTGTTAGTAAATTTTAATTATTGTAAATGGAGATCTGTTTATTCCACATGCAGTATAACTACAGTATATGCTTTGAATATGTTTTCTGTTCAGTAGACAACTTTACTAGCTACTGATTCAATGAAGGTGCTAATCATTTGGTATGAAAATTTGGGCTTAATTACGGTTTATCTTTAAAGTTTCTGTTTTTTCAACTCAATTCAAGGAGGAAAAGTGCATAACCACATTTAAAATTTATGAAGCTGAAAGTAAGAAATTACTTTTATTCAGGAGCTCATGAGTTCAAAAGCTCAATATTAATTTATTCAATGAGAGCGAGAATCACTGATAAGGGTTTTCTTAAGCGTCTCAAACTGCGCTCTTTTCTTGTGAATAAGGATATGTTAAAACCTTGAATTTTTTTATACTTTGATATATTTAATACATGAATAAACTATGTGAATTGATAGACTTCACACAGCTGCACAATTGTCAAATTAGGGTAAAACCTAGACTTTTTCCCCATTGTTTTCCCCTATATGAAAACATTTTATGGTAAATCCATATTTAATTTTCTTTTCTTATCACATAACACACTTTTGGTGCACTATTTTATTACATCATGTTTACTGTAAGTACGGCAGGCTCAAAGCAGCACACAAAAATAAAAATAGTTAATACTAAAAAACCTGCATGTATTCAGGAACATTCATATTAATTTTATATTATATATATATTTATATATATATAACACATACTTGTAATCTCATTTAGCAAGGGTTCTTATCAAATGATTAGCCTGTGAATACGTGGCACCTTATCATATAGGGGCCTTTTAGAAAGGACATTTCAAGTCGTTTTGAAATTCAGCTGTGTGACGCAACACCCTAGCATGTTTGCGAGCATTAGAAGAATAATCCATTTTATCTTGACCTCTGAAGTGCGACAAAGAAGCAAAACTGTCACACCTCCAAGAGGATACGAAGGAAGCAGCGACACTTGCGTTACAAAACAAGCCACAAAGTCAACAGACCAAAACCAGTGAGTGATTAAGAAATCAACTGCACAGAAAGAATAATAGATTACAGGACACAGCTTCTGTGTTGGCTTGCTTATTCTGAGCAGTAGGTCACTCAGAACTCAGTAAGGTACTGAAATACTAAAGCATGATTGAGAGTGTGTGAAATACAGTATATACACATCCAGAGAGAAATGAAGAACTTTCGTGCCCTGTGTACTTGCAATCCATTAGAAATCCAACCCCAAATTTCAGAAGAAATACGTGCGCTCCCTGAATCCTAGATACTGTGGAATTCTGTTGTGGTGAAAGACAAGGGCACAGTGAAGTTCATCATTGTTTAGAGAGTGGCACTCCCTATGCTCTAAGCCCATGGACATCCGTGATCCGTGATCAAATCCCTGGTGTTTCACCCCTTAGCGCCATCATGGATATGCAAGCAACACTGGCACAGACTGGCAAAGATTCTGCACGGAGAACAATGGAATATTCAGCTTTGGGTCAAAACACAAGAGCAATGATGTCATTTGATGTTGACAGCCGACGGACCCATCTTAGCATCTGTCCAAGAGATGCTTAACTGATCCCAGAACGCATCACACCGTCTTGAGTGGCCCTTGCTATGTGGGAGCAAGCTTTGTGTTGAAAGATTAAGGGATTGCGTGGAGACTGGTGTTAGCGGGAAGAACAGGCAGGCTGCTGCACAGCCTTCATGCTTCTTTAGGAATCACATTCTCTGCCACCACCAGACAACTAGGTGCTAACAGAAAACCCCAGTCTCACAAAATGCTAGGGGTGGCATTCTATGCTGCTATACATACTATAGTCTCATAACTCTGCGACACTGAATCATAATGCTATTTTTAAGGGCCCCTTACCACGGCAATCGGCTTTACGATGGTCAGATTTATTACAATCCACAGTTATTGCTATGTGGGAATGATTCCTCTGGCGATTGAGAGTCTAGTAGGTTGACTGGGTCTGAGGTGATCACTGGGCTTCCTGTCAGTCTGAAGTCTAATAAGGCAGAAGGATGGATGCTGAATTCCCCAACGACTTCACATAACAAACATTCCTACACCTTTAGGTATGCAAGAAATTCCAACAACTTTCCATTTTTGGCAGTGTTTTCAATATGACAACACTGTTGTTATTTTTTTTCCTTCCTTGGGATTATTTTTACACTTTAAGGAAGGTGTTAAAGCAATCCAAAGTAGTTCCACCACCAAAGTACAAAGCAAGGTTAAGTATATACCCTACATAACCCTTGCAACTTTTTAAAAGGTATTATGTCTTTACTTCAGAAAAAAAAATATTTTGGAAAAAACAACAACCAGACACATGGAATAAAGCACCAAGTGAGACTATCTGCTTACAATGCCACTCCTATCCAGAGAATATTCAATATAAGTTTATCATTAGAATCTAACCCATAGTTTTGAGACAATTATAATGCAACAATGTGCTCAAACAAGCCAGTTATCAGCTATCAGCTATATAACAGTTATCAGGTTATCAGCTTCGACAACATGGCTGAAAATACCAAATAATACAATCTTAAACCAATTTCTGAAAGCTCAATAAACAAATGTTTATTAGTCTGCTGTGAAGTACACAATGTCTGTTTTAATTTGAAGAAATGCAAACACTAGGGAAACGCGTATTGAGTTGGTTTTATTCAATTCACATTTAAAACTAGAAAAAAAGCACTTGAAAGACCATTTTAACTTTGCTGTTATGACTGTTGTGCAACAGAAAGTTGACCTGCATTCCAAGTTTATAAAACGTGGTTCCTAATTTGTCTTTAATATGATAGTGAAAAACCCCACAAAACATTAAATTACATCTTGTGATTTATCTTGGCTCTCATTCAGAAAAAACAGCACAGAAAAAGAAAAGTTTAATTAGTGCTGAGATGCTTGATTAATCTTGCACAAATTCAAAGGCTATCTAACACCTGCATCTTTTAAATAGTTGCATAATTATTTACTAGCCATGTTAAACAAAGTGTTGTATCATGCCTCAGCAATTTGTTTTTTAAAAAAGAGAAAATTACAGTGTAAAATTAGAATGTAGCACTACAGGCATACAAAACAAAGAGTGTTTACAAACAATAAATACTCTTTTTTGTAGGGTTTTTTTCTCCCCAATCTTCAGCAATACTTTGTAAAGTATAAAAAATTCAGACAACACCATATGGCCATGAAGAAGCCAACTCCAAAACTCAAGCATCTTCCCTCAGTGAATACAGTCCCACTAAAGGGGATTAATATCCTTATTATCCCAATCCATCCATTTCCTAACGGCTTTACTGCTCTATCCAATAAAGGTTTGGGGGGGGAGATCCAGGCTAGCAATG